CCAAGAGTCTCCTGATGGAATCCAAGGTCTAGATGCATGCCTACAATTGCTGATAACCAAGGCTTGTAGCGATCTCTGTTGCATCGAGGTGTAACACTGTTTTAAACCACTGACTATATACACTATACACTCCAACAGTCACGGACTAGTACGATATTCAGAAATGAGACACATGAAGCCCAGAATTATAAACAGGAAATGAAAGAAGACCGAGAGAGAGTGCAAAAAAGTATACAAAGATTAGGGAGGGAAAAAAATGAGATAAAAGGAAAAATGGGTATACTTTATAAAAATGTAGCAATAAAAAAGCCTTTTTTTAAAGTGGAAGAATGAAAAAATAGAAAATATTAAATACATGCTGTATTTATAGTATACACTTTCAGTAACTGTAATGTTTATTTATATAAAACATTCTATATAATAGCAACAGTCTGCAGTATCTCATACAACAGATCCACTGATGAGAAACATTAGAGCTAACAGTTTGTCTGAGAAGCAACTTACTGCCCTTCCTCCAGTATTTAAAACATGAGAACGCTTAAGAAAAATGGAACAGAAGTGTGGTATATTCGTTGTTTATCCTGCATTGCTATTAAGATCAAAATCTTCATTAAAAGCAAATGAGAAGCTGAAACAGTAGTGACTTACTGTGATCCGCAGATTTTACATGACACAAATTACAAGTTGCTTAGACCGGCCCAATCTGCATTATGTCTGGGTTACGTGAATGAATATATATATATACACACACACGCACTCATACACTGATCTAACTGACATACATTACACACTCAAGCAGGAGTCAAATGTGTTTCCTATTAAACAAATGCGGGTGGTCTGCTTCTCCAGCAGTGTCGTGTCAATTAATTTTGGGAAGCAGTACAGTGCTTAATTCTATTTGACCAGCCCTCTGAAGAGGACATAGCTATGTTTCATTCTTCTACCAATGTGTATTAACATCTCTTTCAACTAGTAGAGTAGCAAAGTGGTCTCATCTTTACTGGAAGCAATATTATGACACAATAGAAACACCGAGGTTTGATGAGCAATTTCTTTCTATTCTACATTTTTAATTACATCTTAAAAATTAAAGTTATGTGCCATTGGAAACAGAATATACATCTTTTACCATATAGTTAAAAAAAATCAGACTTTATCATAAGGTATTTTCAGATAACACTTTTTTCCTATGTTATTTAGTGACAGGGATGAAATAAATGTTAAATCATGAACAGAAATGGGGGGGGAAAAAAAAAAATCTATCACTCTTCAAAGCAGTCTTGGAAGCAGATGGGAAAATTCAAGAGAATAGTACTAAGCTGGCTATAACAGCACTCATACGTCTTCCTCCACAGCGCCTCCCTCTCTGCGGGTGCTGGCTGTTTGGTGGGGTTTTTTGTTCTTGTTTGTTGTGGTGGGTTTTTTTTAAAACAACAGTCATGTCCCTAATGTGAGAGTTATTTCAATATGCATCAATAGTTCCCTGAGCAACAGACAACTGTATGGAGCTGAAAGAGGCTTTCTAGTGTCCAATGCTACAACTGAACTAAGGGCACAGGTTCCCTTAACGCAATTAGTGAATTTTTATCTCCTTCCTCCACCCAACCACTTGTTCTGCATTTAATCTGTAGGGACTGATCTTCTAGTCTCTTGTCATAATTGGCCAAAACTGACAAGTAAGTTAAAAATTATTGATGAGAGTCAGCAAAAATACACGTGCAGACACAAGAGACTGTCACAGAAGTGACACACTAACAAAGTTACGCACACAGGAAATTACTAATGTTATTTTGTTTTTATTATTTTAAAGAATAAGAACTATTGATAGATTTTCTTTTATGAACTTCAGAAATCCCGTCAATTTTTTCCAAGACATGTAAAATCATCCTTTGTGTTATAAAGTTTCTTATAAATGCAAAATTCTGAATTTGGAAATCTGTTTTGTCAAACTCATTTGTGAAGATTACTCTAAAATCTCAAAAGAGTCAAACCTGTATTTTCTGTTACACAAAGAAAATTATAACTGTGGATGTTCTTATATCGTATTTCACCAGAAAACATCTACATTTTTAGTAGGGCTGAAGTAATGAGCTACTTAGTGACATATAGCATGTTTAAGTCATTTTGGTTTCTTGCCCAAAAACTCTCTTCAATACCGCTGCCACCCCACAAGCAAATTTATACCACAAGTGTAATTTATACTTCCAAAGATAAACTTTCATCTCTCTTGCGGTAAACCTCATGCAGTATATCAAGAATTTTTAATAAACATACATCTCTTCATTTTCTAGTTTCTGCATATTATACAAAATATTCTCTCCATTAAATACAGATTTGGGTAAGAAACTTGAAACAAAAGGAAAAATAAAATCCTTTAGATTGGGCTTGAACTTTTCTAGCTATGATTGGCAAATGCGAGGCTGACGACGTTAGATTTTTTCATTTAAGTTAAAATAATGCATCAAAGTATTACTGCTCAGAGCAGAAGCAAACCATATTGTCAGAACAACCACCTAGTTTAGTTCCCATGCTAGTGCTGCAGTTTTTGGTAGTTTTTATGGAAGAACACTTCACCAGTAAAAAACAGATGGTCTGTGGACTGGTAAAGCAAAGCGGATACGGCATGGTAGGGCTTTCCCAGTACCTCTCTGACAAGTACTCAGGATGAAGTCATGGCACAGCTGAACATGGCCAGAACCTCATCCTCAGAAGTGATGAGTCATCCATATGCTCACTCACGTCATTCATAAACAGGCTACTGAAATCAAATTTCATCTCAACTTAATTATTCGCAGTGATGACATATTAAGTTATTACATGAAATCATCATCTCTGGACCAATGCTGTTACTATTAAATCTGCTGCTTCGTCCAGTTTACATACATTTTCTTCAGTTGTTGCCACAGGATTCTCTGTCATTGCTGACAGCAAATCTCACCAAGCGTTAACATTTAGGTACCCAAAAAAGTGTGCTGTGTTCAGATTCACGCAGGGTGTATTTTTTCCAGAAGGCATGCACCATCCCTCATTTATTATGGACCAGTTCCCAAAAGAGAGCAACACACTAGACACCATGAAGAAGAAATAAAGATATGTTTCAGATACCTGGACCCCAAACCTTCCAAATTGTGATTATGACGTCAAAGACACAAACAGCACTTTCTGTGCCCATCATTCGGAATAAGCTGCTGCTGCTGCTTATGATCCACTGCTGTTACATTTCTGGCTCTCCCAACTGCAGGGATCACTTCTATAATCCCATTTCTTCATGGTCAGAATGCCTCATATAAATGACATAATCCCTAGCTCGAGCAGTCAGTCACATGAGCACATTCCTTCCCCTTGCTCACATTTTCAAAAACCTGTTCTTCCTACACAAATAGTTCTAAAGTCACTCATTTGATTTGTGCTCGTAGATTTAAGGGATGGGGAAAAGGGTTGCTAGTGACTTGCTTCAACATTGGAGCAAAGGAAGAAGGCTGTGCTTTTCTTGATGTTTCTAAAAAACTATTGTAAAAAACTCTAAGTTTTAAAACCACAATGGAACCAGGTCGTTTACATTGATGAGATCAATAGACAAAAAAGGTTTTGGAGATCAAAATTAAACTAAATCACCATCTCCCTTAAAAATACGTATTTAATATATTTGCAGTAGAAACCTGAAGTCATCTGCTTCAAGTATGTAACAAGACAAAAACTGGCTTAATGTCACAGACTGAACAGGTTAATTTTGCCTATGAATTTCCCTGCGACAGCCAGCAAATTACTCAAAGCAAAAGCAGGTCAATAGGACTGCATTTCCTCAGCTCAGCATAAAAAAAAAAAAAGCACAGCAGTCTCATCATCGAATATTCTTCACATTTTCTTCCATGTAACTATCAAACACATTGCCCTAGCAGAACAATAAAAACAAACCATCAAATTCTTCAAACACTGTTCAAAATAAGCTCTCTCTGGCTACGTTCTTAAGCCTTAATTGGCGTTTCAAATTGGCAATTGCATACAAAACAGTCTAGTATAACAAATTATTCCCCCTCTACTAATCCATTGGTGACCTACATTAAGATGTGACTATAAAGAATCTTTTAACAGTGAGATCTACTGGTGTATTAAAATCTAGTTCAATTAGTAAAACTGGTCATTTTTAGACTCTCATTCCACGCTAACAGTTACATTTGTTTGCATGCATAGCAAAGGTATCTCACAAGAGCTGTAACACTTGTGTCAGATGCTTGGCTGTTTGAGCGGCCTTCGCCTACCTCCTTTACTGGAAAATACATACGCTATAGCGCATGGAACAGACTCACCAAGTAATCCTCTACTACAAGTCAGAGCAAGATGCATACGTTCAGGTGGTTCTTCACCCAAAACTAGTGGCTATGCCTGCTACATTCTATATGCAAAACACATGTAATTCCTTTTAAATTGCCAAAAATTGCATCTGCAATATAAGTAATATCTGTTTGTTACTGCATAATAACTTTAATAACCAAGAGATTAATGCAGACAGAAGTACATTAGCATCATATGCATTCCTGTTATAAATCCAGAAACTTTATACTTACTCCTTTAGTACAGATTCCAAATTTCCTCCATCTCAACATCAGCAAGTCTTTTGAAATGATACACACAAATGGGAAGTAAAAAACTGAGATTCAAGACCGTACTGTTTTGAGCACTTGAGCAATATTTAAATACGTAAAATTTATTATTTGTTCCATTATCTAAGTAATATTTCTCCAATATTTACTACACTTGTGCTCACAGCTGGTAGTTGCAAAGAAATCTGAATTCAGACTTCAAGATTGAGGAATTTCTGGTGAACACCCACAACAAACTAAACAAGCCCATTAGGATTCCTTCATAAACAAAAGCGAACAAAACATCTGTCTGGCAACAATACATAACCCATTCTTACAAAACGTAGTTTAACTGCAGTAGCAGACAGTTTCTGCCTTATCCACACAGTATTAATTCAGAAGTTTCAGTATTATACTCACAGCGAATTCCGTAAATCATGAGAGGATCAAGTTGCTTCTTCCCATGCTTGCCCTGGCCCGAAAGGTTGGAGATGGCCTGAATTTCCCGATGGAAGAGATAATCAAGCAACGTCAGTGCCATCTTCTCGGCTGTGCGGCAGTTCGTGCTGATGTGCAGCATGTCAGCAGGGGTGATGGGGCAACGGACCCGCATCTCGGGATTATTTTCGTCTCCGAGCCATGTCCCATTGGGGTAATCCTCTAAAAAAAAAAAAAATCATGGAAATTCTAACTGTGGCACAGAATGAAACAGGTTCAAGTTACAGTCAACATTTCTTAACTTATTGTGAGCTCTTCGAGTTTTCTTCGTAGTCTCCATAAACTTCTTTAAAATTTAACACAATTAACAGGCTCACAGGATTTGCCACAGATAAATCATTCTCAAATCCACACCAACGGTGACCAAAAGTTATTGCCATTCACGGTCTGGGCTACATGAGGAACTGGCGCAATTAGTCCAGATGTCTAACTCACTCTCAGGTATCTTAAGTGTCTCATACTAGAGGACAACAGCTGAAAGAGAACACCATATTCAGTGTTCTCATTCAAGATAGTCATCCTTTAAGAATGAAGATTACTAATTTCAAGATGCTAACAGCTTTGAATCACATTTTTCCCCAAAAGCATCAGATTAAAATGAGTCTAAGCAAGATTATAAATTTAAGAGTTATAATCAATAGCGAGCAGTAACTTATTTAATCACTGAAAAGAAAATTTCAAACAATGACAATCATTCAAAATGTAGCCAGAGTTCCCAATCAAAATTTTGGTCTTCCTTGAAATCTACCAGCCAGTAGTCTACAGTATTTCCTAAACACACAGTTTACCAAGGAACAGGCCCAGCATAAAGATAATGAATCAATCGCTAATTATCTGCCACATACATCTTCCCTTCTATTCAAGTACAAGGTCATTAGCAGCAGAATCTATTTTAATGTTACCCACTAGCAGAACTATACCTAACTTCTCTTGTGTAGGCACACACACATATATAAAGAAGGCTTCTGATTTTTGTCTCAGCCTCTCCGTTTAGCAGGAAAAAAACCTATTCATTTTAAGATGAATACTAAGTCCTCACTGGAAATTAATCTTTGCAGACAATGCCAGAAGTTAGCGGTTCCAAGACTAACCAGAAACCAGAGCAGAGCTCATAAGGATGACCGATCCCTACTGAAGTGGAGGATGCAACACAGGACCTGGGATAAGACTGTTGTTCCAGATAAAAACAAAATTTCCAGTACAAATCTTGACAATGCTAATAGCAACTGGACAGAACAACATTCCAGTACTATTTCAATGTTCACTGACACAGACCATTTGGATTTGATTTCTATGTTTGCTCAACTTTGTGGAGTAAAGCAAAGCTTCCCGACGTAGGAGTCACTCAGCCCTTCCATAACTAGAGCTTTATGTCGTCGTCATGTCACACACCTTCGGAAGGGTAAAAATGTGAACCAAGTCATTCAATTACATGACTTATCTTTCATTAAATGCCTTTAGAGTTTCATGGTATATATGAAGTCAGAAATTCCTGGTTTCCATAACCCTTCTAGTCACAAAATGGGTGACAGAGTGCAGACAGATGAGCATCTCCCGTGTGACCCCTGCGCAAGCAGCATCTTTATTTCCAAGTATCAGCACAAGTTAAGCAGCTTGTATTTTACTAGACTACAAGCCAAAAGTGTGCAATAAAAATGTAACATAAAAGCAACTCAAACACTAAAAAACACTTTTCCAACATGACCTTTGGGTTGAGTCACACCACATGTCAGATGCAAGTTTATTGCAATGAATAATGATAGTATGAAGCAAATGTTAGATTATGCAATACTGATACATCATTACAAACATGAGATTATCAACAATGATAATTTCTAAGGAAAAATATTTATTGCTGACATATGCAACAGCTAGTCCCTCAAACTTTTTTCTGGTGAAATCAGAACTTAATGCTCTGTTCTGAATATTTTTTTTTATACACTCACACATTTTTTTTATATACATTTGAACTTTACTTTTTATCCTGAACTATGTAATAGGGCACACTAGCTGTTTTCTGCTCACAGTACCAGATGCCATTTGAAAAATAAGGTGGTTCAGATTAATTATTACTTGTTTTGAATGCCACTGTGTCTGGCCTTACCACAAGTCTGGTTAACATTATCAGGGAAAACAACAGCCTGTTCCTGAAGATAAATGGACTGTTTTAGAAAACTCTGGGCAGAGCTGGCAAAGCAAAACCATCTCTGCACAAACGTGTAAGTTTTTCAAAGAAATTCTAGGAAGCCTGAGTAAATGATTCTACATCCTATCAAAATCTTACTGCCTTACCAGTTCACAGAATTACTATTAGAGTTATTACTACTTCTGGAACACCTTTCACCTGCAGTCTTGTTTAAAAAATGCTATCAACCTACATGAACCAAAGATTTTTTCAATTTGCAAAATAATCTCTTTTTTTATTACTGGCACGGAGTCTAGAACATACTGTTTTTACCATGTGCAACTGTTCTTTTATTGCTAACAGCCTGGAAAAAAGACATTATCTTGTTATTCTGACCTACGAACACATGCCCCACATTAAATTATCTCTTGCATTTTCCTCCTGCTTTAAAAAGCTTTAAAAGCTTCAACAGAAAGGGAATTTGCTATGATCATTTTGCATTAAGTGGAACTTGCATGACTAAAGTTAAACGTGACTCTACTGTCTCACTGCAGCTACTTGAGGGCCCAAAGGCTAAACTATTCCTTATCGTATATAAAAATAATTCCTACCGGCCTGCCAAAACATCTGGCACTTTGCATAGAACAAATATGGTGAGATTGGTACACAAAAAAAGGTGGAAAAAAATACAGCGCCAGTTAGAAGGGAGGCAGAACTGCTCTGAACAAGTGGTGTGGTATGGGAGAAGACAGACTGAGTAAGGAAAGGGGAGGGGGGGGAAAGAGACTAGGAGTTTGATGGAAATTCTCTCTGAACAATTAAGTACATAAACACCGACGATTAAAGCTGCATGGTTCGAAGCTCCTAGCACTCCAACATTCTTTTATGCTTACTGAAATGGTTCTTCACATGTATTATCAGGCATTATATGTAATATCTAGATAGAATCTAGATGAGTCAGGTTATTCAGTACATACAATGTAATAGCCAGACAGCGAGTCAGGACTCCACTAGGCACTGTACAACCACACACAGCTGCTTCTGTTCCTTAAAGGCCACCAAAAAAACTAACGTGTAAAGGGCTGGGGAGGAAGAATACAGTCAAAGAACACTCTTTTCTTAAAAAGAATGTGCACACACTCATCCGTAACTCAGTTAACCAAGCAACTTTTCTGTTCTGCCCTGAAGTATTTTTCTTTCGGTAATTTTCCCAATGGCCTTGCTGTACTTTGAACACATTTTGAGTGCTATGTGCAAAGGTACTTCCTTGAGTTTCTTTACACCAAATATTGTATCAGAGAAGTGGCTCTTGATCATTTCTACTTCCAGTGTTAAAAGTGCTGACATTTTTATCTGATTTCCCCTCTGTACTCAGAAGCTCATTCCAATGACAGACAAATTTCTAGCTCCTCTTCACTATTTTTAAGATGAGAAAATTTGCCTTTATCTCCATTCTACTGAATCCAGAACTAGTTTGCTTTTCACCATTGTTTTAAACTCTTTTTTACTGTATGAAGTCCATTTCTTTTATCTCACAACACAGCTGACCATTCCTCTGTTCTGGCAGGCACGTGCAAGAAGATGAGAGGCGGCTGGTGCTGCAACACAAACGAGCATTTCTACAGGAACAGGAAGAGCCAGCTTTAAGGTTAGTATCGAGAAAAACCAATGTCAAGGGAACAAAAAACAGACAAGACTCACTGTGGTTTTCAGACTCCTTCTTGACACGTGTATGTGTTTCCCTGCCCGGGGAGATGACGGACACTTAACTGTTACTCACATCTTTCTATCGGGATACACTCCCCCGGTTTGACATGTGAGCATTAGCAGTAAGGCTAGAAACAGAGCCTGGCTCTGCTGTCTCGCTAGGTGCTGCCAATCACTCCTTTAAAACAAGGGAAAACAAAAGGAAACACCTGCCCACATAAACACTCGAGTTAACATGTTCCATTATTCCCAGTAGTTGTGTTTATTTTACTAACAAGGCTGGGCACAATCTGCCATTTGCAGCAGAGAAAAATGACTGGTAGCTGCAGTACAAAGGCAGAAAGATGAATTAACCCCACCAAAAACCAAATCCTAACCTACAAAAATAAACCCCCATTTCTAGAGAAATTAAATAATATTTTGGCTGATGTGTAAAAGATTCAACATCACCTTTTTAAATAAACTTCTGTCAATTAGCCCAAGTCCTTTGCCCCTGCAAGAGTTCACAGGGGTAGTGATTAACCGACAGAGACTACGGACCACTGACTTTATTAACTAACAACCATTAAATATAAGGAACAGAATGACAATCAGGCTATACCTTAACTTACAAATCTAGCAATGTGATTTAAAGCTTGTGCTAAAAGAATGGCTAAAAAACTAGAGTTAAAGCTATATTCACCAAAACCTCCTCCCACCTCAAAGAGCAGTTAAAACGCTGGGAGTTCTGGCAGAATGAAGTGTACAACACACACACACGTCCACGAACACCAGAAAACCTGGATACAGAACTGGAGTTTTTCGTCTGACTATTCTCATGGGGAAAAAAAAAGGTTTAATTTCCATGTAAATACAAAAGAAAGATAGGCAGAAGAAAGGATTTGGCTAACAGAGAGACAGTTCCAGTTAACTTCTAAGCCCCGATGGTTAGAGGACCAGTACATTATATGAGATATTCTAAAAATATATCCTGCACTCATGGTTTCTTCAGTTGTCTGATAACACAGGGCACAAAAACATCTATATGGGCACATAAATACTATGGTGTGCATAGAAGTCTCAGCATAACGTCAGTGAGATTGCTTGTTTGTTAAAAGTAAGGCCTCAGGTTTAGTACATGGTTAAATCCATGAGAGAAAGAGGAGATTCACTTATTTAATGACTCATGGAAGGCCAGAGAATTGATTCAACATAAGTAGAAAATGAGGACCACGCAATCATCTGTAATTTAAAACGATCAACTAAAAAAAAATCCAGATAAAATTGAGAAAATTAATATCCCTGGACTTAGAGGACTTTTTAAGCCCTTAGAAAATGTGTTTCATGCCAG